TTAGTTAATTGAAAGATGAAATTTACTAAAAACCAAAAATGAACTCAACAAATTTCAACTAGAATCAGAACAATGCAGTCAAGATTCTATCCAAATAGATTCTAATTTCAGTTGAAATTCCATAACTTAATTTTAATCATGTTAAATAGATTTTTTACCACATTCTAGGTAACAAGTGTAGCTTTTCACAAAAATTCTTTATGAACGTCCAAAAATAAAAGCCAAAGTGAAACTTAAACTTCAGCTGCCAACAAACGATATACAATATTTGAATTAAGAAGAATGAACTGCTGGTTTTCAATGAATATAGAAGACTAGAAACACTTTAAATAAAACCCCTCAGGGTATGTGGAGATAATTAATCAATGGAGGTTCTTATACGACAGCAGTTTCTCAACCATACTCAAGGATCTCTCTATGTACATGCATGCATGATGCACTGCAATATTTATAATTATACCGGTGGAATGGAACTTTACCTGCTAATGATACATTACAACAGGAACAGTTAATATCAGCTGCCAGTCCACTTTTGGGTTGTGAAGTGCTTGGCTTAATAGTTGTGCCACTGCCTTGAGCATTAAGGGCTGCAGCTGCAGCTATTCTCCTCTCAGCAGCAGCTGCTCTCTTCTCCCTCTCAGCAACCTGGGCGGCTTTAAGTTTCTCCTGGTCAAAGAAAACAAGAATAGATTTACATAATTATGGAAAGAAGAAAAAGTTGTAGTCAATCAAAGAGCATGATAAGACAACAAGACTTGGTTTGATATGCAAAAAGTGAGGTAAAAGGAAAAAAACATCTTTGATAATGTAAGTGTAGAATGCTACATGAGGAATTATCCAAAAAGTGTTAATTGTAGGAAAAGAATAATGTTTTTTAACATATTCTAATACCACTCTCAAGTTAAGAAGAATACCAAGTTTAACTCAGTAAACACCAATCAAAATGACTTCAAGCCAAGGACAGATTTTATGGATTTTACATGAAGGCCCAATTGCAGATAACAAATGAGTTAATAATTACGAGGGTAAGGTTTTCAAGATTAAACTAAGACTTATTTTTTTAAATAAAAAGTACGATAAAATTTATTAATTTATAAGTACTAAGGAGGTATCAATGTCGTCGTCCCCAAAATCCTCTATTATATAAAGAGAATGACCCATAATAAAAAAAACTTGAAAGTGTGAAACTGTCTATTTTTAACCCGGTCAAAATCATCTTCCACTTCCTCAAAAGTTCTCACGTTCCTCTCTTTCCACATCATCCAGCAAATAACAAGAAAAATAATACTTGCATGTCTTTCCCTCAATTAATACCTTTCCAGGCTCAAATATCTTCCCTTAATTCGTAAGTCATGGTCCACAACTTATGCACAAGCGAGTACAAAAGAAGGATGTGATTACAAGGCTCTGCCTCCCTATTGTATAGAAAACATCTACCCACTAATATTTTCTCTCTCCTCATCAGCTTATCAATAGTAAGAATACAACCACAACCTACTTTTCATTCAAAGAAAGCAACTATGGGTGGCACATTAACCTTCCAAATTTTCTAAAAAGGAAAACTGGTCTCTGTGACATCATTCTTAATCAAATAATCATAGGAAGACCTATCCGAAAAAGACCCTCTAGTACTGAGTCTCCAAATTAGTTGGTCATCATTTCTATTGATTGAGGCACACGGGAGTGTATGAAGGAGAGTCTCATAATCAATAAGTTCCTAATTGTTGAGGTTTCTCATAACTCTTAAATGTCATTCCCTTTCCCCCCATTATCTCTAAATGACTCATAAACTGAGATATTCTTGTTTCGTGCAAGAGCATAGATATGAGGGAACTATTCTATGAAGGATCCCCCTCGTAACCAAGCATCCTACCAAAAACAGATTTTGTCCCCAGTGTCAATCCTCCACCTAAAACAATCTTGGAATTTATTTATGTTCATATATTTTTTTTCATATCCCCTTTCCGAGCAGTCTAGTCAACACTTTGAAGTACCACTCTCTATCCACGATTCCGAACTTCGCCACTATCACCCTCCACAATAGGATACCATTTTTCATTCATGACTCTCCATCACCACTTACCCTGCAAAGCTGAATTCATATCCACTGAAGATCTTAAACTCAAACAACCTGAGATATTGGCTTTGTAATCTTTTTCTACACCACCAAATGATATTTTTTCCTATCCGCTAAGATTTTTTACTCAAATATCATTTGAAATTATTTTTTGTGACCTATGATGGTAAAAGCTTGAGCTACTAGCCTAGAAATAGACTAACTTTGTCATTTATATTCTAATAGAAGATTAGGTCAGGATAATATTTCCGATACTACTACTTTTTCTTGTGCTTTCTTGGCATTAAGGAGTCAAGTTGGTCATTATTTTATAGTCGGTCTAACCTCTTCAGAGAGCTGTGATCCACCAGTAAGTTGAGACTTTCCACCTGTTACAGCATCATGGGATAAGGAAGCCTGTGCCTGCATATGCACATTACAAGAATCTCAAAAAAAATAATAATAACAATTGGCTTATTTGGAACTTGAAAAAAAGAAGTTAAATTGGACAAAGTAAGACATCCAAACAAAATGGAATTGATAATCCAAAATGGTCTTTTAAGTGCCATGGGCGGGCAACTTCTATGTTCTTTAATATAACACAACAGAAATAAAACTTAGTATTTACCTTAGCCTTCTCTCTTGCTCTACGTAATTTTTTCAATTCTTTTGCCTTTGCTTTCTTCTTGGCATCTTTCTCTGCCTGAGCAACCAAATATGGAAGAGAACATGAGTTCAAGCTATATAGTCAAGATGTTCCACAATTGAAGACAGCACAGTTTCCAAAATGTCTCAAAGATGTAGTAGTATAAACAATTTTAAGCATTTTCAACTATCAACTATCTCGGCAGCACACTGAATTCAAGCTTCACCGGAAGACTTGAGTATGTACCTGTAAATTAGGCTCTTAGATATAGTTTTACTAACAAAATGAACTCATTTACCCAAAATACTATACTCATCACTTAAAAAGAATCATATTCCAAGGAAGGAAAATAACTCCATGCTCAGAGAGAATTTATCCCTATACATCATGGTTACTTGCCTCACATAAATTTAAACTACAAATCTGAAGAAGCAAAATGGTTGTAAAAATGCCTAAAACCAATAAAATAATTACAAAGACTCCACAATGATGCTGCAGTGAAAAAGACTGCATAAAGACACTGTATGGAAATAATTTTTTTTTCCATATTTTAGTAACCTACAGTGAGATATAGGAAAATCAAAATTTTTTCATGCTTCAGTAATCCTTCATTGTCAGAAAACTTCATTGCAGACCAACTGATTTGTAACTCAAATAGAAGGACGAGATGTAGTGAGAACTAACAAACGCAGAATAGCAATAAAATCAGAACTTCAACTACCTGCTTGGCAGCTTGAGATTCCTCCATTTCTTTTGTTAAGGCACTGGGTACCTTAGCAGCATCCCAATCCCACTTATCAGGATTCAAGGCCATAAACCGTCTGAAAGTATTTCTTACTTCCTTCTCGCTTGCCAGCATGTATGGGGTTCGTCCCCTTTCATCTTTGATGCAGGGATCCAAACCCTGTTCAAGAAGTTTCATAACTTCCTGCATATTTCTAGATTTTGCTGCTTCATGCAAAGGTGTTGATACACCATGAATTTCTCCACTCTCACTCTCTTCTGACACTTGTTCTTCAGATTTTCGCTCAATAGACAAACTTCCAATTTGACTCTTGCTATTCTTGTTGACTATGTCCTCTAGGCTGGAACCTTTATTGCCATCATTAACCGTGCTTGAGGCTGACATTATGTTTTCCTTGGGTCCAGGTAGAGATTCCATCTCCTCTGTTTCATAGGCAATCTGTGTTAATTGGTTATATATTCGCTGCACTTCCTTGAAGGTAGGCCTTCGAACAGTGAATGGGACATTTCGGATGGAACAGAGTTGGTTACTGAAACGAGGTTTCTCCCCATTGAAAATCAATTGACGATTGTTTGAAGGAGCATGAATGAAAACACAAGAGGAATTATCAAAATAAGGCTTCCAACCAGCTAGTAGTTCTTGAATTTCCTAGATATTTATGAAAAGACAATCAATGAGACAGACTCAGATATCTTCTAGAGATAGTAGCAATGTAAATTGCAGTAAAAATAATTGGTTGTTTCTGTGACTACCTTCTTTAATGCAAGTTCATTGTGCCGGCGTAGTGAAGCTCCAGCAGAATGAAGAGACTTTCCGCTCCCATCTTTCAGTGACTGTTTTTTACCATGCTTGGCCCTTACTACATATCTGAATGACAAGGAACATATATAAAGCATATTCAAGTCAATAATAAGCAGTTCTACTGATGCACAAAACTTACGCAATAAGGCCTTAGACCAATTTTTCTTCAAGCACGACCGGAGCACAAGCACTTATAATAGATAATCCTACTGTATACAGAGAAAAATACCTGTGAAATGTTTTGTGAGCCACAATCAAGTTACCATCATAAACACAGCCAGCAAAGTGGCCACCACTTGCAAGCAGCACAACCCTCAATTGCTTGTTATCCCTAGTCTCATGAATAACAGATTTCAATCTCTCAATCAATTCGTTCTCTCTCAAGCCCCCGTTGCCATTAACAGAAACCGCTTTCTCATTCTCATATAACACACCTTCAGACTCATCTAATAGTAAGCTCTTCCAAACTGAAACTCTGTCGCCAGTTTGAAGACATAGGAACAGTTTCTTCTTGGCATTCCCAACCAGTCCCCTCCGAGCATCATTGCAAGGGTGTGATCCAGTGTCAGCTTCATCCTCAGAGCCAGATATACTTGAAACATCATAATCTTTAAACGAATCAGATGTCAACTCATCAAAATCTTCCTCCTTCACAATATCCTTCCCAGCAATCGTAAGCTTCACCTAAAACCACCAACAGCCAAACAACAGAAATCTCAAAACCTACGAATCAAATAATCAGGAACCTTATTGGATCTAAATTATCTAATTCTTTTATTTATACATCCTAGCGATCCCCACACCACATAAACACAAATAAATTTGGAATCTCCAATGAACATAATATCCTGAAGTGTGAAACTTACCAAGCTCAAGCGTTCGGCCACATTTGGAAACTCAATCAAACTCAATGAAAACTTTCTTAGCATCGCTATGATTCTAAATCGAATTTCATAAAACTTCATCATCACCATTAGCTATAGCTCCTAGTTTATTCAATTTGAATTCATTTTTCTAAATGGAGTTAATCAAATTAAAGATATATTTTTTTCGAATACATTATCCCGACCGAAAGCAATAGAACTTACGTTCAAACGATGAATATCTGACTTGAAGTGAGAGCGCTGGTCCTGGAGAGAGTCGAACACCGCTTTACAAGTGTTGCAGGTCCATCGAGGTAAACTGAGGCCGTTATTCGAAGTTTTCTCTTCTGTAACACAGGTCCTGTTTAGGTTTTTAGCAGCGGAATTATCGGAGGCCGATATTTCCTCTTGTAGTAAAGTTGTGGTGGCAGACAGAAGCCGACACGAGTCGAAGAAGTTGGCTGGCACATCGAATACCGAACGGTGTCGCTTCTCTATGGGATTGACGGTGGTCGCCGCAACCGTGGCAGTTGTAAGTGGTTGCGTTGCCATGGCCTTGACGATCGAGGTTCTTCCTGATAGCCCCTGCGGCTGATTGCTCCTCTGATTGAGGCTGTGAATTACTGCAATTTTATCAAACGATGTCGTTTGATGGATGCTGTTTGCTCCGTCTGGCAAATGAAGTGTATGCGGAAGTCATGGCAGCCATCCTGAGTCGAATGGCAAGATCCATTTTCATCGGGCCTCCATTTCATTTTATTTTGTATTAATTAATGAAAACATCTTTTACGGACTTCTTCTCATTTCTTGGGTAAGCCCAAAATTATTTTCTTCCATGGACCTTTTAAATTTAATTTTTTTCTTCAAATCTGTGTGATAGTTGTATCTTAATTTTATTTATATTATTATCTTTTATATATATACTTTAATTTATTATGAACTGGTTGTATCACGTTGATTAGATATTAGTGGGCCAATGAATGAAGCCGGCAGACATGGTGCAGGAACCAATTTTAAGTATTCAATGCAGACAGCAGAAGAGATGAATAACTGAAATAAAAAATGAAATCAACTTCAGATTTGTGGCAGTTCTGCAACAAATGGACACGGGATTTTAGTCATTCACACCATTCGTCACTTCTATTTACTGTTGCCGACGGGTCTGTATATCTTCGTCAATTCACCACCTCACCATTTATTTAAATACATTACACTAAATTAAAATTAAAGTTAACTACTCCCATTAATAACAAACTCCATATAATTCCACGTGTCTTTATTACTTGTTCAAGTGTATGGATGGGTGGAGCACTGCCACGTGGCAGTTAATCATTTTAACTCACTCCACTCTCCATGCTCCGCTTACAGTTAACACTAATCACATCTCTAGGATTCTGGAAAGATCGATTTAAAAGAAAATAAGAACCACAACGACAACAATTCAAGAGAGAGTTAGTTGAAGCCAAAAACCCAAAACGCCATACAAGAAAGTGGAGCCCACGTGCTCTGTCCACGTGGGCTCCAATCTTCACCTTTCATCACAGAAAACGAAAAAAGTTGAGATTAAAATAATAGACCGCGTAACACCCGATCCTAACGAGAAAAAGAAAACGCCACTCAGTGGATTGGCTGGCAAAGAACACTGTTCGTACTTGTAAGCGTCACTCCACTACTAAACTCGAAGTGGAAATATGTTAAATTAAAACTAAAAATAAATATAAATTAAAAATTAAACTCTCTAATCAGTACTAACAACGGAAAAATAATACAAACGCAAATCCGAAAAAAATAAGAAAAAATTAAATAAAAAACAAAGAACGCGAACGACGAACCGGAAAATGGAAGAAATTAACAGGCGTTCTCCATAAATACTGTTCAGAACAAGAAAACTGTGGAAATGACAGTGGCAGAGATGATCATCAGTAAGGAGAACAATGCAGGTGCACTCACGTGAACGGCGTCGTTCTCCGCCTTGCTATTTGCCGATGAATCTGGCGCGTCAGCTGGAGCTGCCTCCGGCGTATCCATTGGAGGAGCCGGCGGCGATGCCGCTCTCGGAGACGGCGCCTCTGCTACCGGAGCCGGAGCTGGAGTGGCTGGTGATGGAGATGGACCAGTAACAGGCTCTGGTGCCGGTGCCGGAGACGGAGATTTGCTGAACAAAGCTTTGGGGAGCAACACGCTGTCGACGGCGAAAATGACGACTGGTGTTGAGTCAAGAATGGTTTCCGCGATTCTGGATGAGTCAACCCCTGTGTGGAGTGTGACTTCGTCGCCAGCAGTCGTTGTAGTCAGATCGAACTTTCCAGCGCCATTAGAGGCCAGAGTTGGAATCGGATCTTTGGTGGTCTTCAAGGTTCCTTTGGGGCTGTAACCAGCCGAAGCGTGGTATTGTAAGAGCGCGACCATGTCGGCATTAGTGAGCTTGCTTAGATCGGGGACATCATCATCCTTGAAGGCCTCGTCGTTAGGTGCAAATACTGTCAAGCCTTTCTCGAGCTCCGACTCGTAGGTCTTGATCACACCACTCGTCACAAGCAAACTGGCAAAAGTCTTACATCCAGCCTTCTCAAGCAAAGCCGTTATGTTAAAGTCCGAAGCCGACGGAGCCGGAGCCGTTAAGATCCCCGGCGCTATAATAGGCGCGCTAATTTGCAGCACTGAAATATTGTAGGGGATTTGCTTAACAGATTTGGCATAAGATGATTCCAGCTTCGAGCCAGGAGCCGCCGAGCCGAATCCGACTTTTCCGCCTTGGAGATCGGTAATGTTGACAAAACCGTTGTTGCCAGGAGCGTGTCCAGTGGTCTGATAGAGAGTGGTGGTCAGAGTGGTGCCTTTGGAGATCTGATGGAGCTTCGCAGGATCATAGTAATCGAGCAAAACAAGGAGGCTAAGCACATTCTTGATGACGCTGAGGGGATGCTTGGCTGTGAGGGCAGACATAGCTCCATTGTCGAGGACAAGGCAGGTGATAGTCTGACGGCTGTTGATCTCATCGTCCAGCTTCGTTTGACTCAGGTAGCTGTTGAATGAGGAGTACTGGGGGAATCCAGATAGGATCTCAGTTATGTTGTGAGCTTTGGCGGAGATAGCTAGTACACCGAGAGAGAAGAGAAGGAGATGGAGGGGGCGTAATGCGCTCATTGTGAACTTACAGACTCGGCAGACGGGGAGAGAGAGAGAGAGAGAGAGACGATTAGTGTTTGTGAGCAGAGAAGGAATCGAGCTAAAAAAAGGAAGAAGTTGTTGAGGGAAGTAAAAGTTTGTTAACCATGGTTAAGCGTTGGTGTTAACCATGGTTAATATGGGATTTAACCATGGTTAAATTATGGTTGGGAATTGGGGCCATGTGGGAGGAGGGCAGGCCACCAGGCACCAAGTACCAGGCACCAGGCATGCTTTGGCCTCACAGCTGGAAATGTAAAGGGTTTTGTGGCAAGATATGATACGGTACGCTCTTTTTCTCTTTTAAGTAAAATGACAAAAATGGGCTTCGCTTTTAATGTTATGCCATGATTGTGTTTACAACGGTTAATAACCAAGGTAGACCCATAGGTCACTGTGGTTCGGTCAGGTTACCGGCGTTGATTCAACGCATGGTCAATGCACGGCGATGCTTCTATTCTGCCCATAATTTCAAATAGGGGGCCTTAGCCGACAATGCAAATTGGATTTTCTCAGGATCCAAATTATAACTATGTGGAAATATTTAATTATTTTACTAAGTTTCGTTTAATTATTTTTCTTTAATTCCTACTAAAAATTAATTTGCAATATTAAATGTTTATATGTGAACAATCAAATTTTAAATTAAAGGACCTATTTAATTTTATAGTTACATTAAAGTAATTAAAATTTTCTTTATTTTAGTGAGAAAAAAATTAAGTTTGAATATTTTAATTTCATTATTAATATTCCTTCTAATTTTATTTATTTTAATAGTAATGTTATAAATTTTCATAAAGCAGTGGAATAGCATTAATACATATTAATTTTAAGAAAAACATTAGTACGTATATATTATATCTCTTTTAGTAGACATATAATAGGGTTAAATTTTATAATGAGTAGAATATTGATTAAAATTAGTCAAAATCCATTAAACTTATAAACTGATTATAAGTGATCATACTAATTGGTATATATAATATAAATAAAAAGTTATTTCAAATTAAAAAAAAAACTAGAAGTATAATAAAATTATTATTATAAGAAACAATAAAAATAGACATAAGAAAAAAAAAATTACTATAACAACGTATAGTGGGCAATTGTAAAGTAAGAGGATAAGTGCTATAGCAATAATAGTACGCGGTGGTCATCACAACTTTCTCTCTAAAAAAAAAATAATAAAAATAAATATTGTTAGAATATTTTATTGTTTATATCGTTGTATATATTATTAATTTTTGATATATTATTAATTTGATACTAACAAATAAAAATTCAAAAAATTAAAAATTAATTACTTATTTTTATTTTTAAAAAATATAATAAATATTTTATTTTTGATGTTAAGAAACACTGAAATTAAAGTAGAATGTTGAAAGCTCCAAGTAAATAAGAAATAAGTTATTTCTACCATAGAAAAGTTACAAAATTTACGGACATAAAGAACATAAAAGTGGATTGTGGTCGAGAAAAAAATGTGAATTGGTATATGAAGAACAAATTATTAATGTCCAGAAAAAACTTTTTTGGGCTGCTTTACTCAATATTGATTGAAGGCAAAAGAAGTTTGAACAAGTAGAATTTTAGTTGATTCAAAAAGGTAAGAAGAAAACAAAGTGCTAAACTGAGAATCTAGCATGCCTCAAATTCAAGCAACATATTCTTTCATATAAAAGAACTAAGAATTTAAAAAAAAAAAAAAAAATAGGAGACCGTTTCTTCAGGAAGAAGTTTGAACTTTAATTTGTTAAAAAATAAAGTGGAACTTTGTTGGCATATTAATAAATGGTATGTGTATATATAAATATATATATATATATATACACGTGTGTGTGTGTGCGCGCGCGCGTGCCACATAATATTATTATTGTGTATATATATATATATATACGTGTGTGCGAGTATACCCCATAATATTATTATTAACTGTACAACTTGTTTTTATTTTTATATTTCTTTTGCAGCAAAAGGGATTAAAAAAAACAATGGCTATATAGGCAATTAAGTGAGCCCAAACAATATCATAAGTATTCAAATCAATATAGGGTTTAAAGGCTTCCAGAACTGTGGGTGTTGAACAATGCCCTCCAAGATATTGTGTGTCCATCTAGCAAGGCGGTTCATGTACATGTTTGTCTATCGAAAAATATTAAAAATGTATATCTCTTAATTGTGAGTAAGAAGGTCCCTCAATCGGTATTCGATCTCCGAGGCAAAGGGGTCATCCTACCATAATGTTGGAGGACCTGCATAAGGCATGCAAATCAAATTTGAGAATTAGCTTCCTAATTCCCTTATCCAAAACTATCTCAAGACCATCCAAAGCAACAAAAAGCTCAACAATCATCAAAAAAATTATGGCTAGATTACACATAAATCCTACCACCCAATGCCCATAATTGTCACAAAATGATAACACAAATAGTAGTAACCCCTGGCTCGCCTAAGGTCAAGTCGTCCGTATCAAGTTTAAACCAATCTCTAAACGGTGTTGGTCAGTCCACCTTAGAACTGCAGATGCCTGTCTTGTTCTAAGGTCTTGAGTACTCCTCCCATGAGCAATATGGAACTCTAGGGCCAAATTAATGATATCCAGGCTAGAAGGGTTGTGAAGATCTATCTCATCTGTACTATGTACAAAGTGATTTTTTCCCTTCATACAAGCAAATTAGTGGCAGCAAATATCGATTTTTCATTCGTGAAACCATGGTGACTCGCCTCCTTCTTAATGCTCTAATTGATCAACATGTCAAAAGGAAGCGAAAACATTAAAGTATTTAAAATCAATTAAGTTATTTTATACCTGTTTAGAAATTGTGCAATCTCTAAAGGCATGCATGAGGCTCTCACTACATTGATGGCACCGAGGGTATTGGTCGTCCTGTATGAGATGTCTCTTATTCCTTTTCTCATTAGTGATGAGGCATTTAGAGGCAAGAAACTAAAAAAATTGTCAAACTCTTTTGAGTAACAAAAGTGCCCAAATATTCTTTCAATGATTTCTAGAGCCAATAGTGTTCTCATCACTAAGATAATTATATGCCCCTTTGACAATCACCTTGCAATTTGTTAGTGTAATTCATCTCATCTCATTCGAGGTTTTAGTGATTCAAGATATACTAATCTTAAAAAATTTTCAAACACACCAAATGTAGGAAAGAAGTCGTGAATTCATTCCACTTCTAAGTAGTTGCACAATGAAACTATGCAATCCCTACTCTCAATGTCCATATGACTTTACACAAATGAGTTCAAAGGTCAGTCCCCTTTCCATATATCTTGCCAAAACATTATGGTGTGCCCATTATCCAATTATAAAGTTCAATTATCCAAGTTATCATTATCGAGAGTGTAAAATGATAACCAATTTGCCATGGCAAGTAAAAAACCATTGGTAATTTCTTTTTTTTCCACATGCTCAATATGGTCTTTTTACTATATTTTTGGAAATAGCTTTACCAAAATGAGTAACATGAAAATCAATTAACTAACAATATATAGTACTTCGCCTTTGTACATTTTTTTTTTGGTTCAAAATATTAAATTTTCACTTGTACTTTTTTTTTGCAATTCTAACATCTATATTTTCAAATAACTTTTGGTTTAATATGTGAGCATTAATATAGACTAACATTGTTAATAGAAGTACCACGTAGACCTAGCTTTCTCATGTGTCAGATTCTAGGTAGGTCAATATCTATGTTAAAAACCATGTAGCAGCCCCGGAAATTTAAAATGAAAATTATATTATAAATATCAAATGCGGAAGCAAAAACAAAATTTGATTAACATCCCTTACACTAAAACCAAAAACATGCTCACAAAATATAAAAGATTAAACTACCTAAAGGGGAAACTTGAAAGTAAAAACTACGAATGTGACTATGGAGTCCTTAGGCGTCCCCTTCGTCGTCCTCCTGCGGAACCGGCTCGGGAACGATGTCCTCTTGATCTGAAATGATTAAATAAGGAATGAGCTACACTAGCCCAGTAAGGACATCACGATATCTCACCGTCACGGAGGTAAAGGTGGGTAGAAAACACAAAAAGACCAATGGAGCATAATTTACAACAAATCCTTTTATTAATAATAAAACCTTTACCATTCACTTACCTCGGTGAAATTCATAAAACAATATACGAAAGCAATAACATCATCATCATCATGAAAACATATATATGAACTGTATAACATAATACCTATCAAGCTTTTCGTAATTTAATCGTTACACAACATATTTTCCTCATTTATCAGCCCACTAATATCCATGGGGATCCATAGGGGTCCCGCTACCCGTTAACCCTTAACACTTGAAATCATATTACAGGGCCGTCCCCATACCCCGTCCGGTATGGGTGCCAAACCATAGACCTCATTACCCCATCCGGTATGAGGGTGAAACGGGCCGTCCCCATACCCCGTCCGGTATGGGCGCCAAAACACATAAGATCTCCATACCCCGTCCGGTATGGGAGACCACAATCCCGGTAGGGTTCCCTACGGACCCGGTCCGTCCACCATCTCCCAGGATATCAAGTCAGGCTGACCATATTATACAATTTCCATTTACATAATCTTTCATTCTCTTTTTCCCTCAGTCAACATTATCAATCACATACAAACAAGCAAAACGATAATTTATGCCAAACAGACAACATACAGCATCAATATCCCGGTCATTCAATCCATAATTAATAAAACAGTAGAATATGCACATAAAACTATAAAATGAAAATATCAAATCTCATACTGCATTTAAAACTGTAAACAGGCCAAATAACAGTTAACCGACAAACACACTAGACTCGGGCTCCATTAGCGACCTTAAGCAATTTCACACATTCGTTGATTCATGAAATACCATTTTATCATTTATTGAATTTTAAAACCGTGATAGGAAATAGGGTGAGGGGTCCTTACTCGTTTCGGGGTCCGAACACGGCTTCATAGTGCGCCTACAGACTGTCCCTAATTTTCCCTGAATTTTTCTCAGGAACTGAAACGCACTACTGGTACCTGCACATGTTCCAAAAAAAATCCCAAATTAGGCCCAGG